ATGTTACACGTACGACTGAAAAAATTTGAAAAGCTAAAATGATCCCTTTTTGGGAAACAATCTCCAGATCTCGGTATCGGCTGCACCAATTTTATTCGGACTGATCGCAATCGAAAGATACCGACGACATATAATAAAAGTGTTTTTAGATCTTTAATTGCGGCTGTAGTTTCTGAGTAATTTTAATCTAAAGTATACAAAAATTTAAACGGACCGCTTGACCGCTTAACGTGTGAACGTCATTGCGTATATGTTCATGCCGTTACCAATTCGCGAGGCTATGAATCATTCACATTCACACGTATGTATGGTAAATGACAGCAATAAACGAGTGCCATCTACCGTCCAAAATATGAAAAGGAGATAACTTTTTGAGGAGACGTATCTTACAGGAAATTTTGACATTTCGGATTTCGCATCACGATATCTCCGTTCGTGGGATACGTAGAGGTAAAATAAACGTTTATTATATAATTCGGACTCAAATTATCGATAGAACTCATATTCAGAATTCTATCGGTGTAGCCTTTATATATTAAAAAAACCGAGAATTTCGGGTACTCGGATGCCCGCAACTCGCTGACTCGCGTAAATATACTCGTGTCTCGCGCTGCGCGCCCACTTGGCGCGGGACACTACCGTGTCTCTTGATGATATATATAGATTTTCTATCAAAAACTAAATACATTAAAATATACGGTTTTTGCTAGATTGAAATCAATATATAATGTAAATAATGTATACAAACAAAACTTTTAAGTAAAATATAGAGTATGTTTTAAAATATTTTTTAAATGAAGTATATGTTTGAGTCTGAGACTTAACTTCAAAAAATTTAAATAAAAAGTTAATAGTTATCGATAAAATGTAACTAAATAAAGTTAAAAAGTTAAGAGTCTAAAATGTAACTAAGTTAAGTTAAAATTATTTAACTTTTCAACTTTTTAACTTAACTTTTAGCTTTTTAACTTGGCACTACCCAACCCTGACCATATGAACTTTTTCTATTTTAGTCGGTTTGTTCATGAAAATATTTTGCTTTTTTTAGAAGAACTTTTCTACTTCTGCGTTCTTTTCTAAGATAATCTAAAAATAACATAAATGGTGTCACCTGTGTTTGCACCATCATGAACGATAAATATTGCTGGCAATGCAACCTAGATGATCTATCTTTGATTTATTTCTGAATCATACGTTAAATTAAGCCAACTGGTGCGAAAAAAGCTTTCTATTTGAACGGTTCCAGTCATCGATATTTTCTCGATGCTTTGAATAGCCTTTAACGACTTCGTGCTCATAACTCGCGCGAATACCTCGCATAGCGGTATTCGAGAACGCGCGCAAACCAATCGAACGCAATATCGATCCTCGTGCAATGTGTGTCGCCAAATTAAATACTCGTGCCCGCAGTACCGAGGTGCCCTCGCGAATTTACCGTAAAAAAAAGAAGAATAAACAAAATAAAAACACGATAAAATGCCTTTTTTAAGTGAATAACGCCCCGAGCTATACCGCCGCATTTTTTTCTCCGGATTATCGCCGCACGGTGACAGATAATCGAGGATGATTAATTACTACAGGCATGCCGCAGCGTTTGAATGTCGGCCCACTGTGTTATAAACAACATTGCACACCTCCGGTAACGCAACTTTCTCTCATATGCTATTCCATTAAACGTTATCAAAGTGTCTCGTTACATGTCAGGTTGGTGCTGCTTCTGTTCGCGTCTGGCGCTACGACCGTTTACACGCAGATTTATCGAACGATAAATCAGCATTATCCTATCGGATGCAATGCCAGAGAAGAGTTACATTAATTACTCAATCAACTGAATACAGAACTTTGAACATTAAATATATTTATGATACCTGAAACTATCATATTCACAATCACATTAGCCACTCCCTTTCTTTTTCTTTCTCTTTAATATATAATACATTTAAACTGAATATATAATATACTTCAGTATATTATGTATTCAATTTAAAATATTATAACTGTATTATACTGTAAAAAGTATATAAAGTTGTATACATATAAAACTGTATTATTCATATCATGAACTTGCATTCATTCTCAGTTGGATAATATATATTTATTTTTTCAACTAATTCAAATAAAATAAAAAGTGGTTTTTTTTTCTTTTTCTCCATGCGATAATTTTCGAAAAATTTTATTCGGAAATAAATGATTGTCAGATATTCAAATATGACTTTATCGTACATATCTCAAATTTAGATTTTCCAGTATATACATAACATAATTCCGCGAGAAACCAGAAATACATGTTTTGAATTTTTCTCGAAAAATTTTAAAATAAGATTACATTTGTGTGCATGAAATGTCGCTATATAATGATATATTTATGCAGGAAGCTTATACGTAAAAGTATCTTCCAATCGAGTATTTCCAAAGAGAATCGATTCTTCCTCCAAGAAGTAAATTCTTCGTAGAAAAATATTCTTTTACGATGACAATGGAAAATTATGCTGATGAATATTTGGAGTGCACAGGGAGGAAAATGAGGGTGAGATTGAACAGGAACAGGTGAAATGGTCGAGGTCGAGTGCATCCGGGTCAATTGGTTGATTACCTGTAATGTAGTTACATCCCTCGAGTGCCGTATCGTTGCTAACCAATTCTCCGGTTACCGTCGTGTCTTGTCGTGTTTGTCATACTTATGAGGCACCGAATGAAAAATTTATTGTAAATGAATACGACATTATGTGACCGAGATATTGACATTTACTACGCAGTGAAATGCGAATGTACGATGTCAAGCGCGCGTCGTTCTACTCATCTCGTTTTTCATTTTACGCTTTACACGAAGGTGCCTCAGATTTTCACGTCAGATTGTTAAATTTAAAAAAAGAGAACACGTCAAGAATTAAAAAAAAAAGGAAGACTAAAAAACGGAGGAAATATACTCGGGAGAATGTTATAAATTTATGTCATGTTTTGAAATATAAAGTAGAAAACTAAAACCGATATCGTTCCTTTACTTCAAAAGTGACAACTTGAAAAACGTGATTTATCATGAATGTATTAAGTAAACGTTACCATATCAATCATTAAAATTACTAATTTCAAAAAATTATTAAAATAGTCACAACTTAAGAAGGGTAGTTTCAAAAAAATCGTTAAAATCATAACTCAAAGAGGATAGTTTTTATAAGAGTTGCAACGAAACAAAAATGACAAAAATATATTTAATCATATTAAAAATAGATTCTTTTTGCCGATATTATTGAATTATTTTCAATAATTCAATAGAATAATACGTATAAAATTACGGCCAAAGACTAGCGAAAAATAAGATATTCTACTATAATTAAAATAATTTTAATCTTCGATTTACATTAGTCTAGCGAAACTAATTTCGACCCTACTGAGTCTTCTTCAGTCGCAAAGTATATTACATTAAAGTCAATTGATATTGAAAGTCTTACATTATAAAAAGTCGCAAAGTATATTACATTAATAGTCAATTGATATTAAAAGTTCTACATTATAAAAAATCGGAATATGTCGACGAACTGTAGTATCGATTCGGTTAGACGTTCTTTTGATGTTGCAAAAATAGCTTAATCTGACGCAACATCTGGTAATTTAAAATGATATGTAAATTTATGCTTCTAATCCTAACGACAGTCGTGTGCGACTTTTTATAATGTAACACTTTTAATATCAATTGACTTTAATGTAATATACTTTGCGACTGAAGAAGACTCAGTAGAAGGGTCGAAACTAGTTTCGCTAGACTAATGTAAATCAAACGTTAAAATTATTTTAATTATAGTAGAACATCTTGTTTTTCGCTCGTCTTTGGCCGTAATTTTACACATATTATTCTATTGTGTTTTCAATAACACAAAGGCAGAATATTATTGATCATATCTTCAATAATTGTCTGCTAAATTAAAAAAAAAATGTTCTCTTTTTTTTTGAAAACTTAACGTTTTGAATCGTGCCACTTTCGAAATAAAGAAACGATTTATTTAATGATAGAATGCTCGATTTAGATTTATTTAATTATAGAGAGAGTTCTAACAATCTGCTCTGGCATTTATTATTTCCGTCGGAGAGGTGAGAAATATCAAATGCATCTTTCTCGATTAAATAAGTGATCAATAAAATTTTCATCAAGTAAATTGCGGAACAACAATAAGGACTTTTAATATCAATTACGGTAATGACTAAATGTACGTGATTACAGTCAGTTACGTATTTATACCAGGCATGCTGTTTATTGATTATCCTATCATCTCAACATCTGTCACCCTCAACGTTTGCAATTTAACGTGACACGATAAATGTCATTGGATAACACGTTATAAGTGTAATTCTTGAAAGTATTAATAAAAAAAAACACAAAACAACAAATATAACTTTCAATTAATGTAAAGAATTATATTTAAATAATTACATAAAAAAAGAATTATACTTAAACAATTATGTAAAATAGAATTGAATATATCGAGAATTGGAATTTGTCGTTTTATTTAAAAAAAAAACTCGAAACAAAGCGACGCGAATTGTTTTGCATTCATAGAGCGACGAATCGATCATTTTGGAGACAAACAAACCAATATTCAAATACAGCCACCAGCCTACCCCTACTTACGATTCTATCGTGTATCCCGGACGAGTGGCATCCGTGGCGAGATATCGGCTGGACTGCGGATACGACTGATGGCGTCTGCTGGTTAACAAAGGTACCAATTCGACACCACCCGTAAGTTCATACACCTGAACCTCCTCCTTGTAGAGATTCCTCGGGTCTTGCAGTTGTGTTTCCGAAGCGATACCTATTGGAGCAAAAGACCGACACGGAAACGAGATTCAAGCTTCAGTAGCAGCGAGAAGCATACGGCAACCTCTAGCTATTTACCTGGCGTCGCCCTGTCATCGTAGAATTTATTCACGTCCACAACAGCCGGAGGGTCCGTGTTTCTCTTGTATAGTCTGTCGATGGTCGAGTTGCTCGTCCAACCCTGAAGCAAGTTGAAGCTTTTAACCAGTTAACGATCTTCTCTTTTCTTTATAGTTACGTTTAATTTCGTTCGCCAATTCGGTACTTTATATTTTAAACAAATAAAGTTTATTTTAGCAAGCATTTAAATAGATTTTTATATTCTCTTTTACTATTCTTATTTAACACATATCTCGTACAACTATCTTACAAAAATCTCGTGATGTAACATACATTTCAAATCTCATCTTACAGAAAGAAAAATATATTATTAATATTACATTGGTTTCATATCAATTTTAACGTAACATTTTTATAAAATAAAAAAAAGCGTTTTCGAAATATTTTTCTTCCAACTCTTTAGATTCTTTACTTCTGTTTTTCAAGAATTTCTACACTGAAAAAAAAAATTTGTTCAACTAACTTAAATACTGCTTAACATTGAACAGTTTCTTAAACGAACTACGATTGAATTCGATTAAATGAAATTTGTTAAATTAACCAAATCTGCAAACAACTAAATATGTTTAATTAGTTGAACAAGTTTTTTCTTCAGTGTATATAATAATTTGTATTATAACATTAAACATTTTTTAAATATTGAGATATTTGCTGAAATATGATTGACGTCGATGCAGCATACATCAAGATACATAAGCCACAGGGGAACATAAAATTGAAGTGCGGAAAGATCAACGCCTCGAATAAATCCACAGCTTCGTAATCAGTAGCATACTCGCGGTTTGATCCGACCCGAGTCAAGTCGCGCGCGTTCATTCATCAATGTCGGTCTCGTTAGCCGGTTGGTTACAACAAAGCCCGTCAGCTTATTATAAGGGGAAAAAAACCGTGCTATAAATCCGCTCACCATAAATCCATATCCGCACAGACAAGTACACGGCGCGGCAACGAGACAGAAAGGGAAGTCTCGCGCGCGCGTCTCTAAAGATATTATGCATCTGATCGGTATAAGCATAATATGAAGGAGGTTGCAAGTAATAAGAGCGTTACTTAGCTCCGAAGTGGAATGCGCTAATAAATTTCCGTCTAAACTTTTCGGTCGCGCTTAGGAGGGCGCCCGGAGGACCGTTCAATTAGCTCGGTAACGCGCGGCAAAGTTATGCGCGTTGCGCACGTTCGAGAGACGGCGGAGCGGTTAATTAAAAATTAAGAGCCGCATGCTTCTCTCCTAGGAGACATTCGAGCAAACCGAGAGCCCGAAGAACTCTGGCGAAAATAAAAATTGTCGCGTAAATTGAATGTAAGAAGAGAGTGACTGACGCGAAGCTGGAAAGTGTAAATTGGAACGGTGCAACGTAAAAGAAGTATTTTAAGAGGTAGATGCCTCTTTTATGTTTCGTTGTTCCAATTTACGTCACCTAGAAGCTTTGTTTATACTTCCGTCATTCTTCCCTTACATTCGACTTACGCTCCGATTTTTATTTTCGCTAGGAAAGTCCGCGGAGGAATTCGGCCCAATGTTATCACGAGAGCGACTATAATCTATGATGTCCGCTCTTTTTTTTTTTTTTTTTAACGGATTTATATTTGCGAAACGAATGAATTACCGTACGGCCGATTGCGTTTAATTGATAACACCACGCTTTCGTATCAAATGACGCACGATTGTTACGCTCTGCGGAATAAATCCACCGGTCATGAAAGTCGTTGCAGCTATCGATCGCTTCTCGCTCCTACTATTTGCACAAATAGCGCCACCCTGTCCAGTGCCAATAACAAAAGTAAAAACTTATAACGATTACTGCAAATGCAATTTCGCCTTGCGAAATTCTGCAAAACCAGGCCAAGTAACTTTAGATTTATGCGCGTACATTACGCGCAATTGAGAATTCTTGGAGCCCCAAACGCACGATAAAAATATTTCACGTAAAATTTTACAACGATTGTAGTGGATATTTTTAAGACCTACTGTCAAATGTGGTATATTTATGTACGTAAATAAAGTTACAAATAAAATTACTCTTCATTGTAATAATTGAACAATTTGCAAAATTAAATTTACAGTAATATTAATGTAATAATTAACGGTTAACGAATTACGTACAGCTTTTCTTAACGCTAATTAGATATTCGCTTCTAAATTTCCTTAATTGGTATTCGCGGGTTCAATGTATTTTAAATTATCGTATCTTTGTTTAAAATAAACATATTTAAACGGTTAGAGGTAAAAGTACACAGAAATAAGTGCACGGTTTTGATAAAATATCCAAAAATTTAATTAAATACAGATTTGAAAATAATTTGGTTGGATTATCAAAATAATTATATAGGAAACTCAAGCATTATGAACAGTACTGTAAAAATGTTTCATATTCTAACAATTGAGCGTCTTACAAAATTATATATGTTATTTTGATAATCCAGAGAAAATTATTTTCAGATTTATACCTCAATTTTTAGATACTTGATCAAAACAATTCTTCCCATGTATTAATTTTTATAAAAGCTTAATTTTATGTATATTTCCGCTACAAATTATGTAATTTTACGTACTTTATTACAGCGCGCAGCCCTCACAAAGAGACAAAATTACGCGTGCGTATCAGTTTCGGGTGTCACGCGTACTTTACTCCCCCGTCTTGGACTAATTCGTTCAATCTTGCATACGGACGTAATACGCGACTCTCATTTCCGTTTCGGGCACCAAGATAGTTAATTGAGCGGGCGCACGTGAGCCGTAGATTTACCGGTAACATCACAAACAGCATTAGTCACTCCGTTTCGATGAAAACGGAATTATTGGAAATTACACGCGCGAAATTGAACGCCAATCTCCTTGACGAACTTATATTTAACTGAAAATGTCAGTGTCCAAAACTGGCGTATACGTGATTTCGGAAGCGTCCATCTGCAAGGCTGTTTATTACTAAATTACATGGGAAAATCGGTATCGCCGCTGCATCGGCGATTAGAATTACTATTGAAATTCCGTTTCTGTCCGATTACGCGCGCGCGTTCGCTCGCGTATAATTGAAAGATAGGTCGTGACGTTTCTACGATTCCCTCCATCGGAAAAACGCAGCACGATAAAGTGATTTCCCGAGAATTTCATCCACGAAAAACCCGGCCGAGCTTCGCAGTCAGATTAGCCGCATTCGTCATGCGGTATACAAATAAATACGTGACTTCTCTTCCCGCCAGCCAGTTTATTGCATTTACTGGCCGCGCGCACGCGGCCCATGTAAAAAAAGAAAAAAAGAAGAAGAACGTGAAAGAGGAGAGATTTCATGAACCACGATTCGGCGCACCTCCGCGCGAAGTGCGGGCGCAATTTAATTTCTTAGTAAAAACACGCCCCTTCCCCCTTTATTTTATGTATCTCCTTTCGCAGTATCCCTTTACGCGGTAAATTACAAAGCACGCATAAAAAAAGCCAACCGCGATTTACTCGCGCTCCACCCTCCACCTCGGGATTAATTGCGCAGCAACTCACCGTGTGAGAGAGTAGATAACTTCTCCCCGTTTTTAACGAGAGCGCGTATCGAACAACGGATATCGCGCCCCGCTCTCCCACATAAATTTGTATCGCGTACTCGTTCATGTTTCTGTATTTCACTTTCCTCTCCTCTGTCGCTCGCTTCGTTCGTCGAAAAGCATGCACTTCTGCTTTTCCGCGATTGATATTTTCATTCTTGATGATGTAAAAAAATCAATAATCTTCCTGCCGAGTGTGAAATAATTTATCGATGCGTACGTGATCCAATAATGGAAACAGATCACGGCCGAGCGAGGGAAATAATTGAAAACTTTCGTACAACATCGCGCTAAATTCTTGATTTACGACAACGGCAAATCTCTCCTTCGTAATCATAGAAAAAAATATGTACATAAGCTCGGAAAGAACTTTTGCTAAAGTACTATCCAAATAAACTATAAATACGAATCTGAAAACAAATTTTGTTTGATCATAAAAATAATTATATGAATAATAGAAGGCTTAAACTGGTTGCTAGAATGTCAAAACTTTTTACAGAATTGCTCATTTACATAAGTGTCTACATAACAATTTTAATAGTCTAACAAAACTATTTTCAGATCCACACCCAGCTAAATTTTTAGATACTTCAACAAAGTCGTTCTTTCCGTGATAATTATAAAAGTTTCAAAATGAATGTATAGCGCATATTACCGAGAGTTGAAATAATTTTATTAAAAATAATATTAGATGGAGAGAAAAGAGATAATTTTAGAACTAAGCAAATTGAATTATAAAAATTTTCATGAAACAAATATCGTCGCTAAAATATCATCAACCAGTTAATTTTAAACGAATTTTTACATAGAAAATATTTTATATTTCATAAATATTTCCGAAATTTATCTTTTAAATAAAAAATGTAAAAACCCCGCAAAAAGTACTAATTTTAAAAGTATTTGATAATATTATTTTCATTTTTCAAGAGTACCCTTTAAATCTCTTTATTACCAAACAAACAGAGTTGCAAATATATATTTAATATGTTATATTATATTAAAAGTTGTAATAAACAATTTGGACTCACCGCTGCGTAATGTTCAGCGCAAGAAGATTTCCAGATTATCTTTCTATATCGTCTTTGTAAAAAATGTATCAAAATGGAATTATCTCTCTCCCGCAGCAAACCCTTCAATTACCGCGACGTCTATAGTTTGCGACCCCTCGGGGCCAATGTTCGTCAATCTAACAGGGTTACTCTTGCGCAGCGGTAGAAAGTTTTGATGCAAAGTTGCCAGTACAGGCTGACGCGGGATACTCCCATTTGCCGTGACAATGTAATTTCGTTATCGTTTCAATTGGTTTCTCAGCAGGAGGTTATCGTTTAAACGTGCAATTACGTAGGACTAGAAATACTTTCGGTTCTCGAAAGTATTGCGAAGCCGCGCCCATCTCCTTTTTCTTTCCCGCCTCGAAAATTTTATCGGATGGACGACTGACAAAAAATAGTTTTTTATATACTATGGCTAAACAGCGACATTATTAATATCCTATTTCTATAACATTTTTACAAAGAAAGAATAGTT